GAAGTTGCAGAAGAAACATTGAAAGCTAACAATGGTTTGATTCATGAAGTTGAAGAAGCCGCCTCCATAACATAAATGTGCAAGGTGAAGCAGCAAGTGTTATTGATCGCTAGCTAAGATCATTGTTGAAGGTGGCTACACTACACAACTAATTTTCAATGTAAACAAAACAGTCATCTACTGGAAGAAGATGCCATCTAGAACTTTCACAGGTAGAGAGCAGAAATCAATACCTGATTTCAAACCTTCAGAGGACAGGCTGACTCTCTTGTTAGAGGCTAATGCAGCTGGTGACCTTAAGTTGGATCCAATGTCCATTTACCATTTAGAAAATCCTAGGGCCCTGAAGAATTATGCTAAATTTGCTCTGCCTGTGCTCTATAAATGGAACAATAAAGCCAGGAAGACAGCACATCTGTTTTCATCATGTCTTACTGAATATTTTAAGCACACTGTTGAGACCTACTGCTCAGAAAAGATTTCTTTCAAATATTACTGTTAATTGACAATGCACTTGGTTACCCAAGAGCTCTGAGGCAGATGTACAAGGAGATCAATGTGGTTTTCTTGCCTGCTAACATCATATCCATTCTGCAGCCCATTGATTAAGGAGTAATTTTGACTTCCAAGTCTTACTGTTTAATAAATAGACTTTGAAAGGGTCTAGTTGCCATGGATAGTGATTGTGCTGATGGATCTGGATAAATGGAAACCTTCTGGAAAGGATTTACCATTCTAGATGCCATTGAGAACATGTATGTTCATCAATAGCAAAGTCATGGAATCAATCTAAGTGTCCATCAATGTTTGATTGGATAAAGAAAATGTGGTATATACAAACCATGGAATACTATGTAGCCTTTTAAAAGAATGAACTTATGCCCTTTGCAGCAATATGGATGGAGCTGGAGGCCATTATCCTAGGTGAAATAACTCAGAAACAGAAAATCAAATACTGTGTCTTCTCACTTACAAGTGGGAGCTAAACAATGGTACACACAGACATAAAGTTGGAAACAGCAAACACTAGGGATTCTAAAATGGGGGAGGGTGGATGAGGGGTTGGTGAGGGTTGATTTCATGGTTTATACCTATTGGGTAGAATGTTCAATATTTGGGTGATTTGTTCACTAGAAGCCCAAATTTCACCATTATGCAAAATCCCTCCATGTAACAAACCTACACATGTACTCCTGAATCTCAAACAAAATAAAATAGTAACAATAAAAATGAACACTTGTGATTCATGAGAGGAGATCAAACTGTCAACATTAACATAAATTTGGAAGAAGTGGATTCCAACCATACTGGATGACTTTGGGTTCAAGACTTCAGCGGGGACAAGCACTGCAGATGTGTTAGAAATAGTGAGGAAACTAGAATGACAAGTGGAGCCTGAAGATGCGACTGCACTGCAGCTATCTCATGACAAAACTTGAACAGATGAGGAATCCTGGTGAGGGTGCTGTGAACATTGTTGAAATGACAACAAACCTAATTGATACAGCAGTGGCACGATTTGGGAGGATCGACTCCAATTTTGAAGAAGTTACACTGTGGGCAAAATGCTATCAAACACAGAAATCTTTCATAAAAGGAAGATTCAATAGCTGAAACAAACTTCATTGTTGTCTTAGTTAAGAAACTGCCACAGCTGCCTCAACTTCTAGCAACCACCATGCTGATAATCAGTCAGCAGCCATCAATATTGAGGCAAGACCCCCCACCAGCAAAAAGATTATGACTCACTGAAGGCTCAGATGATCATTAGCATTTTTTAGCAGGACATTACTTTTAAATTAAAGTATGTACTATTTGTAGACATGACGCTACCGCACACTTAAAAAAACTACAGTATCAGGTAAATGTAACTTTTATGTGCACTGGGAAAACATAACATTTGTGTGACTTGCTTTATTGTGACAGTCACTTTATTGCAGTGGTCTGAAACCTGAACCCACAACATCTTTGAGTATTCTGTATTTGCAACTGAGCTTCTAGCAAAACGAATTTCCCAATTTTTCCTGACCGTATATCTTTCAAAGAAGGATTATCCCCTGCCCATCATCAAAAGATGATACTGGGGACTTTCTTCTGCTATTTGAGAGCAGACTACCTGCTACTCTCACTCCTCATTATTAACTACTCTAGTGACCATGAAAACAAAATCAGTTCTTCCAGAGCCCCTGCTGGCTGCCCTGCTACTGGGCTTGGGTTCTTCACTGTACTATACTAAAGAAGATTTGGCTCCAAATATCAGTGCTATCACTTCCTGGCTATGCGAGCTTGGAGGTGGCATTTGACTAATTCGTGAATGTCAGTTTTGTTGCTTATAAAGTGGGGATAACCAGTATCTATTTGACAGAACAATTTTGAGAATTAAATAATGTCGAGCATCTGAAACATAATGTAAGTGTGTCCTCCTTGTCAAATTAATTCTTTGCTCTGTTTCAAAAGGCCACTCCCATCCCCCTCCTGAGGAAGACAGCCCCAAATATTTTGCCACATTGAAAAACCAGACGTGTCCAACAGCTGTCTACCATTCTAACTCATGGAGACTTCTTGGGGAGGTCATTGGTATTCCAATTTAGTGTTTTCCAAAGTATGTTCTATGGAATAGTTGCAAGTCACTGTGGAAAAAAAAGTTTTCATGGGAAATAAATGTGAGAAATGCTGTAAGTGTAGCTTTAACTTGAAGAGTCACAATATATATTTGCTTTCTAAAATTTCTGAAAAATATCCTGCAGTAAATCTGGCCACAGCACTCCAGCCTGGGCGACAGAGCGAGACTCCGTCTCAAAAAAAAAAAAAAAAAAAAAAAAAGAAATACATTTAATCTAGTATTTTACACACTTATTTGACCGTGGGTCTCTTTCTTAAGTAAAACAACATTTATTATCCCAAAGGATATACTGTGGTCTGCTAACTTGGTCCTAACCTTCTCAGCCCCTTCCCCTCCTTTCAGCAATAATTCATGATTCGGAAGTTTGAATTGGAGGAAGTGCATTCTATGCGAATATAGAAAAAGCTGCTCTTACTATATGCTGCTAAAATAGAGATCATAAGCTGACAGAATGGACTCTTTGTGGTAACAAGATACCAAATTATAAACAAGACCGAAGGCGGTGGTAGACAAGGGTTAAGTCCTACAGCCCCTACAGTTAAAGAATAAACTATGTTCTAACTGCCTCAAGATTTTTCTTTTTCTCTACCAGCAAAACAAGCACCGGTCTCCAGAAAAGCAATATTGAAACAATTGCAGCTCACCAACCACCAGACACTGACTAACTGACCTCCTGCTCCACAAGGCATATTACAGCTCTTGACTGGACAAGAGACTGATTTCAGTAACTTTCTTCTAAGAGACCACAAGCCGGTTCTGGCTGATTTATAGAGGCTAAGCATTGATTACTTTCATGTCCCTGCTTCACCTTTTGATGTGTGTGGTCTAAATTTTACTGTATCTTAATGTTGTCTCCACCCCAAAGTAAACATGGGTTTTATGTTACATACATGTTCATTCTGTTTATATATGTTGACTCACAAATATTCGTAAGATTCTCCTATAACCTACTGAATATGTATGTGTACCTAATTTCCTTGGACATAAATCTCAGCCTCTCCCTTTTTTCCTCTGAAGTGCCTGCTATTGTTCTCTGCCAGAGGCTAGCTTCCCCCTGTCGGGATGGCCACCCTGCAAGCTGCAACTTCTTGTAAGAAATAAAGTCTCCTCTCCAAATTTAAGATTGACAATGCCTATATATGAAATAATAGAAGTCAGACCTATACACAGGTTATCAAAATAAGGCATAGTAAATGCATAAGGTATTAGAGACCCATAGATTATCCCACTCTGTTGAGCTGAGCGTCCCGTAAACCTCTAAGAGAGGCTATGCAGATATGACAGGTCCTGATTTTATAGCCATTGAAGCTGTGGCGATCCCCATTAGTGCAGAAGCGAGTCCTGTCTCACCATCACGCTGCCTTCTGATGGCGGTCAGGTGAGGCTCATAGTTATCCAGGGTGCTGCCAAGGCTAGAGCTTGATGCATCAATCCTGAAGTCCCACCTGATTGCCCAATAAAAGATAAATCTCAGGGGGCTGAGAAACGTGCCCTTCAGTTCACGTGTATTATCCTCAAGGGGAACATTATTGCTTTACAAGCTTGGATTCTTTGTTCTGAACCCTAACTGTAAACCAGGAATTGGGGCTGAGAGCTTCTTCCACGTACAGCCCTAGGCTCGGCTCTGCATCCAAGCTCCGCTTTCTAGAAGTGCTTATATTATTAACCAGGCTGCAGCCGGAATTCGCTAGAAACCACAATGTGGGCTACTGCGTTGCGGAAGGAAGAGGAGCGAAGGACGAGGCTGCCCCCTAGTGGGAAACCCACAAGAAGCAGCGACGCTTCCAATCAGCTCACACCTTGAAGTATTGCAAGGAGATGAATGGGCTCCGCATTTCCAGCTTCAGGGACTCCATTTCAGAGCCGCTGGGGAGGATATTGGGGTGCAGATTCTTTTACCATTACGGAGTGGTGGTATGGCGTTGAGAAATAAGAATAGGCGAACATCTTATCTACCAACGTCTAGCCTCTATAAACAGCCCCTGGTTAAATCCAGATTCCGGGTCCTGGTTGGGAGATTTTGATTTAGCAGGGCAGGAATGGGAAACTAGGGAGGGTTTGGGTTTTAAATCAGCGTGATTCTGATCATCTCGCAAATTTGAATATTCTGCGCTGGGAGGCGACTTTCCGTTTCACTTTTCCAGACCCGGGTCAGGGGCCAAGCCCTTGCAAGTCGAGAAAACCCAGGACTTGCTCTCTTCCCTCTGCGTTCGCGCAGCCTCCAGCTGCATCTCCGGCGTCGCGAGGGTAGCCCGACCCAGCCAACCTTCCCGGGATCCGCCCACCCGCCGCGGTTTCCATGGCGACCCGATGGCGCCGCGTTCCGCAGCCTTAGGGCGGGGCAAGGGGCGGAGACCTGCCTCTCTCTCCAGGCGCTCAGCGCCCGACGTGCAAGTGGGGAGGAGATTCTCGTCCAGGACGGTGAGGGTAAGAAGTAACGTTTCTTCTTCTTATTGTTATTATTTATTACTTTGAGTACTTCTTGCGCCTGTTTTTAAAAATAAACTAAGTGTTTCTTTGTTGTTTTTGTTTGGTTCGGTGGGGAGAATATATGTGACATATTTTTCTAGGATTTGTTTCTTAACATTTTCTCTTCAGATTCAAATACTTTGGACAGACTCACCGACTGCCCGGCTGAGAGAATCTGTGAGGTCTACCTGCCTAGCAGTTTGCCTTTGCACGGTCCTCCTGTGAGGAGTGAGAACACACAGGTATGTGACTTCTATAACTGTCCACGCTGGGGTAGTTCCCAGGCCGTCGACTTTCTGTCCCTTTCTTGAGTGTCCAGTCTCATCTTTCTCTCCAAGGACTGCTGCTTCAGCCGAATCCAGATGTGGGAGGCCAGGTTCTCAGGTGGCCTAGTGGGAATGCAAGGGCTGTGCTCTCAGAAGCATCTGGGGGTGAGCTTGCCACACAGAAGCAGAAAAAACTGTTCCAATCAACTTTCTTTATGAGAGAGACACACCTGGCTGGAGGTGCTGGATTTTCTACTTGACAACCCTGAGGCCTGGGCATACCTCAAAGGTGCTTCAGGTAGCCTGGTCAGCATGTTTCAGCTAGTTAGGTCCTACCCCCGCGGTCTGTGGGCTTTTAGTTTTGGAGTGGGTATAATGGATTCCTGGGATCCTGGATGACCTCACATTCAGGGTGCTTTCTTGGGGGCAGTTTGGCTGTTCAAGCTGGCTGGAGGCCAAATGGAAATCTGGACATCTCAGGAAACTGGTTGATATGCTGGGTTAGTGAGGATGAGGGAGGGGGGTGTTGCTTTACTTTTCACACTCACCCAAAGAGTTACCATCTATTACCATCTCCATTTTGTAGAAGAGGAAAGGGAGGCACAGAGAATTTCAGAAACTCCCAGTATCTGGCTTCCACGCTCACACTCAGTACTTTGAATTTAGCTTAATTATCTTTTTCCCTAAATGGAGTGTTTATTCATGCTACCTTTTGCCCACTCCTATTAATCTAGCCAAATTCATTCACTCATTTATCGGTGAGCTCTTTCATTTCTGACCCGTCCCCTGTGACTGTAGTTCCACGGGACCAGAGACAACCACATGTGTTTTATGAAGTTATGTATCTGGCATGCAATTAGGCTCCAAGGAAAGTTTGATGAGTGGATAAAGAGCAAAGAGAGTGAGTGCCTCAGAGTTTTTGCATTTATTGGATAAATTAGGAGGAGAAGGAAACATAAGTGACATTTATAATTACCTTTTCTGGACCAGGCACCTAAGATATTTTATCCCCCTTTATTCCTGTACCATGAGATAGGAAAAGTTTAAGACCCACTTTGCCACCCCCCCCACTCTGTTTTTATGAATGAGGAAACTGAATGTATTAGTCCATTCTCACGCTGCCAATAAAGACATACCTGAGACTGGGTAATTTATAAAGAAAAAGAGGTTTAGTGGACTCACAGTACCACATGGCTGGGGAGGCCTCACAATCATGGCGGAAGGTGAAGGAGGAGCAAAGGCATGTCTTACATGGTAGCAGGCAATTTAGTGTGTGCAAGGGAACTGGCCTTTATAAAACCATCAAATGTTGAGAGACTTATTAACTACCACGAGAACAGTATGGGGGAAACTGCCCCCATGATTCAGTTACCTCCCACTGGGTCCCTCCCATGACATGTGGGGATTATGGGAGCTATAATTCAAGATGATTTTTGGGTGGGGACAAAGCCAAACCATATCATTCTGCCCCTGGCTTCTCCCAAGTTTCATGTCCTCACATTCTGAAACCAATCATGCCTTCCCAGCAGTCCCGCAAAGTCTTAATTCATTTCAGCATTAACTCAAAAGTCCACAGTCTCATCTGAGACAAGGCAAATCGCTTCCACCAATGAGCCTATAAAATTACAAGCAAGTTAGTTAATTTCTAGATACAATGGGGGTAAAGGCATTGGATAAATACACCCTTTCCAAATGAGAGAAACTGGCCAAAACAAAGGGACTTATAGGCCTCATGTAAGTTTGAAATCCAATAGGGCAGTCACTAAACCTTAAAGTTCCAAAATGATCTCCTTTGACTTTATGCCTCACATCCAGGTCATGCTGATGCAAGAGGTGGGCTCCCACAACCTTGGACAGCTCTGCTTGTGTGGCTTTGCAGGGTACAGACCCCCTCCCAGCTGCTTTCACAGCTGGTGTTGAGTGTCTGCAGCATTTGGTGCATGGTGTAAGCTGTTAGTAGATCTACCATTCTGTGGTCTGGAGAATGACTGCCCTATTGGATTTCAGTGGTTCCCAAACCTCAGTTCTTGGCTTTTGTGTACCCATAGGCTCAATACCACATGGAAGCTGCCAAGGATTGGGGCCTGCATCCTTTGAAGCCATAGCCCAAGCTGCACCTTGGTCCCTTTTAGCCATGGCTGGAGCAGCTGGGACACAGGGCACCAAGTCCCTGGGCTACACATAGCAAAGGGGCCTGGGACCTGGCTCAGGAAACCATTTTTTCCTCCTATGTCTCTGGGCCTGTGATGGAAGGGACTTCCACAAAGCTCTGTGACATGCCCTGGAGACATTTTCCCCATTGTCTTGGTGATTAACATTTGGCTCCTTGTTACTTATGCAAATTTCTGCAGCCAGCTTTAATTTCCCCTCAGAAAATGGGGTTTTCTTTTCCATCACGTTGCCAGGCTGCAAATTTTCTGAACTTTTATGCTCTGCTTCCTCTGGAACACTTTGCTGCTTAGCATATTCTTCCACCAGATACTCCAAATCATCTCTCTCAAGTTCAAAGTTCCACAGATCCCTGAGGCAGGGGCAAAATGCTGCCAATCTCTTTGCATAGCAGGAGTGACCTTTACTCCAGTTCCCAACAAGTTCCTTATCTCCATCTGAGACCACCTTAGCCTGGACTTTATTGTCTATATCACTATCAGCATTTTGGTCAAAGCCATTCATTAAGTCTCTAGGAAGTTCCAAACTTTCCCACATCTTCCTGTCTTCTGAGCCCTCCAAGTCTCTAGGAAGTTCCAAACTTTCCCACATTTTCCTGTCTTCTTCTGAACTCTTCAAATGGTTCCTAGCTCTACCTGTTACCCACTTCCAAATTTGCTTCCACATTTTCAGGTATCTTTACAGCAGCACCCCACTCTGCAGTACCAATTTACTGTATTAGTCTGTTCTCATACTGCTAGTAAAGACATACCTGAGACTCGGTAATTCACAAAGAAAAAGAGGTTTAACAGTTTTGAAATGGGAGAGTTCCCTGATCCCCTTAGCAGGATGTGTGACAAGAGTGTGGCTTGCCCCTGACAGAAGGGGGAGCATGCAGACAGGCAGGAGCCGGGGGAGCACTATAGGCTCCAGCCCTGCGGTAGTGTCTAGTGTCTAGGGGTGGGTGCCTGTGGCCACAGTGTTACGAAGCTCTCTTAGCCTTGTCATCCACAGATGGCTTGAATGTTAACCAGCTCAATGAACCCTCTGCCTTTTTGCAAGGGTAGAGGTGCAGTGTGACAGCTTTCTATATCCTGAGCTCTTGCCCAGCATCCCAGAAGAATCAGGTCACACCTGGGCTTGAAGGATGAATGCGAAGTTTTATTGAGTGGTGGAGGTGGCTTTCAGTGGGACGGATTGGGAGCTGGAAGGAGGGGATGGAATGGGAAGATGATCTTCCCCTGGAGTTGGGCTGTCCAGTGGCCTAACTCCTCTCCAACCACCCCCAGCCCAACTCCTCTTGGTGTTCAGACGTTCCTCCTCTTCTCTTTTTCTCTGCCACATCCTTTGCTGTCTGTCTGCTTGTCTCATCTCTTTGTCTGCTTGTCTGCTCTGGATCCTGGGATTCAGGGTTTATATGGGTACAGGATAGGGAGCATCGTGGTCCAAAAAGTAACTTTCTGGGTGCAAAAACAGAAATGCCTATCCTCGTTTAGGGCCATGGGTCTTTAGGCTTGAGAGTGGGAACTTTGCCAGGGAACAGCCCTCTTCTACTCAGTGTTTCCCTGTCTACTGTCTGTATCAGTTCCACATGGCTAGGGAGGCCTCACAATCATGGTGGAAGGTGAAGGAGGAGCAAAGCTATGTCTTACATGGCAGCAGGCAAAAGAGTGTGTGCGGGGGAACTGCCCTTTGTAAAACCATCAGATCTTTGAGACTTACTCACTTATCAGGAGAACAGCATGGGAAAACCCACCACCATGATTCAATTACCTCCCACAGCGTCCCTCCGATGACACATAGGGATTATTGGAGCTACAATTCAAGATGAGATTTGGGTGGGGACCCAGCCAAACCGTATAACTGAGGTTGAGTCATTTACCTAAAGGGATATTGATAGCTCATGGTGAACCTGGGATTTAAACCCAAGATTATTTGCCTGACTCTAGAATCCACACATATTCTTTAAATTTTTTAAAAAGTTAATTAATATTTATTTATTTATTTTTTGAGACAGAGTCTTGCTCTGTCACCCAGGCTGGCATGCAGTGGCGTGATCTTGGCTCACTGCAACCTCCACCTCCAGGGTTTTAAGAGATTCTCGTGCCTCAGCCTCTTGAGTAGCTGAGATTACAGATGCACACCACTATGCCTGGCTAATTTTTGTATTTTTAGTAGAGATGGGGTTTCACCATGTTGGCCAGGCTGGTCTCGAACTCAGGTGATCAACCTGCCTTGGCCTCCCAAAGTGCTGGGTTGCAGGTGTGAACCACTGTGCCTAACTTAATTAATATTTAAAGATGAGGTGTCACTGTGTTGCTCAGACTGTAGTGCAGAGGCTTTTCACAGGTGCAGTCATGGCTTACTACAGTCTTGAACTCCTGGGCTCAAGTGATCCTCCCACCTCAGCCTCTCAAATAGCTGGGATTATAGGCACATGCCACTGTGCCTGGCAGAATCCATATATTTTTAATGTGCTGTACTACCTGCTAGAGCTTCCAGAATGATGAAGTAGTGGCCAAGGGGAAGGTAGAATTTTTTTTTTTTTTCCTGAGTGAAAAGTTAAAAATGAAAATTTGATTCTTTAGATCAAATTAGATTGATTCTTTAGCTAGTCAACAAGAGTGTGTTGAGGTTCAATCATATACTGGGCATGGGAGGAGAGATAAAATATATGTAAAACAACAAAGTACTGAGGCTGGAGAAGAGAGTTCTTCATTTAGAGGAGACTGTTCTCTCACCTGGGTCCTGGCTTAGAGAATCCCGAAGCTTTGGCCTTAAAGTAGGGGTGGAGAAAATGAGGAGAGTTTTATCCATCAGCTACTTCC